TTGCAAACTCAGGGCAGCCATGGCTTCATTGACTGAGTCTATCCACCTGCAGCATGATCTTCCTTGCTTCCTATTGCACTTCCACTGATGGAAGGAATGGACCTGGGATTCATAGTGTTCTCCCATTGTGGCACTTGTACAGTTTCACAGAGCTATACCAGATTAGTTTAAAGAAGTCTGAGGTCTCCCAATGGAGCACCTTGGGTTTTGCTATTGTTGCCATCGGTATATCTACTCATTCCTGTTTTTGAGGAGGTTGTTTGCCGTGATATTTGGACCTGCATTAGGTCTCCTCCAAAGGTTGACTGTAGTGGTCCTAGGATTCGAAGGGCAAATATTATTTTTTTTAAAAAAAACAAAGCATCATCGAGTTGTAGAGCAAAAGTATCATTTCACTGATGCACTATACCTCTAAAAATTAAAAATAAAAAGAAAAGGAGGAGATGAGAAGGGAACATATTGTTCCGATACGTTACTGAATTTAAAAGAAGCCCACTTGAAAGTGGGCATAAAATGCTGCAGAATGTTTCAGAAAATAGTCTAGGACAGCAGAAACATAGGGCCTGAGCAGACTGCCAGAAATAGTGCACATTAAATTGAGGCACTGCCCTGGCTCAGTGCTAGGGAATCATGGGAACTGTAATTTATTGTGGCACCAGAGCTCTCTGACAGAGAAGGCTCAATGTCTCAGGAAAAAATACAATTCCCATGACTCCCTAGCACTGAGCCAGGGCAGTGCCTCAATTTAATGTGCACTATTTCTGGCAGTCTGCTTAGGCTTATAGTTTGCGTTTTGACAAAACAATGCTCTGGGAATTGCAGCAACAGATACACAGCACAACCTTGTATTACATTGCTTTGAATGTGATGCATCTGCAAGACTTACCTGCAAGACTTACCTGTAGCATTAGCAAGACTTGTAGGGCTTTAATAATAATAATAATAATAATAATAGTCAGAAACAGTTTAGGTCAGTCTTTCTCGAGCTATCCTGGTTGCCTCTTTATTATCATGTCTGATACGTTCATAAAATGGAATTTGTCTATCAGTCTCTTTGATGGATCATTGTCCCCTGCTGTGTTGCTATACGCTAGGCACTTATTCTTGTGATTTCCTGGGGAGAGAAGTCCCACCTTCCAAATAAAGAATGGAGAATAGGTGAGTGGCAAAATATCAGAGGTGGAAGATGGATGGTACAGTATTGGTACAGTATTGGTGTCCTAGTCTGTTGTCTTTCTGTTTGTCGTCGAATCTCTGGCACGGCTCCTCCAAATGACTGGACTCTGCAACCCTGGAAGGAGAAATCATATCTCAGTTTGGTTCTTCGAGGGGTTAAACCTGTTTGAATTTCAGTGTGAAGAGTGTGAATGAAGCAATAGAAAACAGATGCCAAAAATGAAATATTAATGTTAGTCCAAAAATTTCAGTGGGAAACAGAGAGGAGGACTGGAGGTAGTTCCAACACCAGAACTTCTTATCTGGAGACTAGACAAAAGAAATTTTTAATAAGTCAGAGCGTGTGCCGAGCATATTTCTCACCTTTTTAGTAATTATAGTCTCTCCTGCAAAGCCAAGATTAGGTGTCAAAAGTATCCGTATCAGAGAAGTCGTTGTTTGACGTCCGGGTGCTGCTAATTTGAACTGGCCATTAATGTGTCCTGAAGGTGTAAGGAGTTTCCACAACACTTAAATATAACTTCCCTTCCCTTTGACAAGTCATGGTTTGGGATATGATTACAATGATGTGCGCCCGGCTTTTCTAATCGGCCAGAGCCGCCGTCGAAAGATATTAGGGTGCAAAATTTATAGGAAACAAGCCCACCACTTCCTGAAGCCAGTAAGTTTTTTGCTCCCAACTTCTTCTCTTGCTTTGTTTAGTTGTGTTTTGAATTCCTCTTTACAGCTTCTGAGGAACATCTAAACTGCGACGGCTCCCTCCTGCCAATGAAGTCTCAAAACGTCACCGATTCATAGCTGCAAAGGTGTTCCAGCACACGGAGGTGAGATTGGGGGAAGCCTCAATTTTTACTTAAACTGTTTTTTAAAACTTGTATAAGATATTTTTGGGTTTAAATAATAAGTCAAGCTGGAGACTTAGCCTCAAAAATCTCCCACATGTAACTTAGCAGAAGGAATATTTGTGCTGAACAGATGTGGTAAAGTTCATGCAAAGTTCTGTCAATGAAGACTTCCTGAGTTACGTGAAACAAAGTGAAGTGGCTGCAAACTGGGAGATAACATCTCCAACTGTTCCCATTTGGCAGGGAAAGTCCCTATTAATCCTCTGCCATCCCACTGTTTCAGCTGCTTTTAAAATGTCCCACTTTCCCCCTTTGTTCTCAGCTTCCTTTTATTGCTGCACACATAGTTCAAACATTGTATTAACATATCTGTATGAAAATTTTAATGTTGTAAGCCATCCCGATTGCTCTGCAGAGGGGCGGGATATATATATATATATATATATATATATATATATATATATAAAAAACATTTTCACTCAGTTAACTCAGCAGGGGGAGGAGAGGGCTGAATCTTCCTCTTCCCAGTAGGCTCAGGCAAAAGCAAACTCTCCTAACTTGTGTATTTCTCCTCCTAAGTAATGTTTTGCCATCTTGACCATAATCTGCTGTTGCCTGGCTGTAGATGTATCCCAGTTTTCATCTGTGAAATGTTGGAGGGTCTGACACAGGTGCAAAACACCCCAGAAATAATCCAGTTTGAGACTGCTTTAATTGCCCTAGCTCAATGCAAGGGAATTCTGGAAACTGTAGATTTGTGAGACATTTATCCTTCTGTCAGAGAGCTCTGGTGCCACAATAAACTACAGTTCCCAGGATTCCCTAGCACTGAGTCAGGGTAGTTAAAGCGGTCTCAAACTGCAGTGTGTTTTGGACCATAGACCAGGATAAAACTCTTCAAGCAAGACCAGGAGCACATTGTGGCACAGCCCATAGAGTGCGAATATCAAAAATTACAGTAAAGCTAAGGAAAAACACTAAACCAACCATCGTGCCAAAATACAACTTGAAGAACATCCCCATAGACTTTAAAGATTATGTAAAAAATTAGATTTGCAATGTTAAACCTAATTGACTGGAGCAACAAGACCTCTGGACTGAATCCAGGGACATTGTCAGAGAGGAATGCAAAAAGACATCCTCTGCAGCCAAAAAGAAAGAGAAGCCTCAGCGGATCACAGGGGAAATTCTTCAAACTGTTAAAGATGGATGAAAAGCAAAAGTAAAAGGGGAGAGAAACAGAATCTGAACCCTGAATGCAACAGTTGAGTGACTTGTGCATAGGGACAAGGAGAACTACTATAAGAATCAATGCAGAAAACAGAAAATGGCAATGAAAAAGGAAGAAAAAGGAAGACCTCTGCTGCAAGAATCGAGAAATCAAAGGGAAATTACAACCAAGAGTGGGGA